CACGAACAGATGCATACCCACTAGCTAACAGACACACAGAGACATACATACACACTCACTTACAAAACATACACTTTCACTGACAAACACACACTCACTAACAGACATCAGACACACCCAATAACAGACACACTAACACTTACACACACTCTAAAACACACTAACACACACTCACACTAAAACACACTAACACACACTCACACTAAAACATGTTTTTTTTTTTAATTGAATCCCCCCAGCCTCCTTACCTTTTGGAGTGCTGGGGGGATTCCCTGGGGTCCAGTTCATAGTGGAGGTCGCTAAATTACACGTGCATCTAACGCATATTTACGGTACTAGACGCGTACTGCCAAGCCTTCTCCTCCCTAACGCCACTCGTAATATGTTCGTTAACTGAGGTACTCCTACCCTTGGCTTTAATAGCATCTATGAGAATGAGCTTGACAAGTATGCTTTTGAAAACGAGGCACATACGTCACCAGTTCGGAGATTTCCAACCGAACAGAACACCGGTTCAATCAAATTTCCTTATCTTCGTCACTTCCGCTGACGCAGTCGCACTGGAAGTGATGTGTTTCAACTGGGGGCAGGCGCAGAACCACGGCATAGGGAAAAATTTAAAGGCATAGTTGCGGGAGAAACAGCCACCTAATTCTCATTAGGCGCGAACCCGAGTAGGTGGGCACCAGGAGATACTGCGCTTGCGCCCGCAGCCTCAGCTGTGGAAAGAGGGGATGTGCAGGTTGGGGGAAAATAACGGGACTCAATCCGTTGTGGCTGGCCCACGGAGGCCGTGTGTGCCCACTCAGGGGTAGGGAGATTTCATAGAATAAGATTTACACCGGATCGGGTAGGGAGATAGGATGATAATTTCTTCTGTGAACTCTCCCTACCTCTTAGTGCGTACGCGCGGACCCAGATCATCAAGGGCATCCTGGTTGGTATCAATCAGGTTAGTCTCTCCCTCCTTCCAACACTCTCAGCCATCCAGTGGGCAGTGTATTGAGAGGTGGCTGAGCAGTACATGGAGGGGCTCCCAATTCTTTTATTTAACCCCTTTAAAGGACCACTCTAGGCACCCAGACCACTTCAGCTTAATGAAGTGGTCTGGGTGCCTGGTCCAGCTAGGGTTAACCCAGTTTTTCATAAACATAGCAGTTTCAGAGAAACTACTATGTTTATGAATGGGTTAAGCCTTCCCGCTTGCGTGCTTCTCACTGTGATTTTCACAGTGAGAGCATGCAAGCGTCCATAGGAAAGCATTATGAATGCTTTCCTATGTGACCGGCTGAATGCGCGCGCAGCCAGCCGACGGGGAGGAGAGAAGGAGGATCGGAGGAGGAGACCTCTCCGCCCAGCGCTGGAAAAAAGGTAAGTTTTAACCCCTTTCCAGAGCCGGCGGGAGGGGGACCCTGAGGGTGAGGGCACACTCAGGGCACTATAGTGCCAGGAAAACAAGTATGTTTTCCTGGCACTATAGTAGTCCTTTAAGGACAGAGTTTCAGAAGCTTGCCTTGCAGTTAATGACAACAGCATTTTTTTGCTGTTTACATTCAACTGCAATTTGCATTTTACTAATGTATTGCACCGACACACATTATATACCGTTTTTTAAAGGACAGAAAGGGCTTTAGTTTGATGTAACACAAATATATATATGTGTGTGTGTGTATGTATGTATATATATATATATATATATATATATATATATATATTTTATTTTTTTCAGAAAAATTGGGGAAAAGAGACATTTTGTGTTTTTTTACAGTTTTGCAATAATAATGTGTGCATAGTATTACAGGTTAAAGTAATTAAAAATAAATTCATTTAGTTCTGATTTACAGAATATATAATGTGTCTGGGATTTTAAGGTTTTTTTTTTTTTTGGTAGTTAAAGGTCACAAAGCACAATGAGTAAAATAAACTTTTAATGTGGAGCGATTTTAGAATTTGGTATGTTTGTCTTGTAAGCTTAATAGCCATAAAAGAAAACAAAAGTGTGTGTGTGTGTGTGTGTGTGTATATATATATATGTATGTATGTGTCAATAATATATTGAAAATCCAGCGCACTCGCTTATCTACTAAACAGTCATTTTAATGCTGAAAATTGTTCAGCATTAAAATGACTGTTTAGTAGATAAGCGAGTGCGCTGGATTTTCATTTTTACTGTACTTATTGGCCCCCAGCAGCACCCTAATTTAGCATGTGTAGGTGAGTGCAGCCAAACCCTTATTTTCTCATGTGTGTGTGTGTGTGTGTATGTATGTATGTATGTATGTATGTATATATATATATATATATATGTGTGTGTGTGTGTGTGTCATCACAGGCTATTGTCCTACGGTTGTTTTGACACTTTCTACGTAGCCATTTTACCGCCAATCTCTGCTAAATATTGGAGTAAAATTGTGTTGTTTTTTTGCCACACAAACTTATAACAAAGAACTTCTTGTGTGTATTTTGTAAAGTTGGTGTGTGCTATTCCTTTACACAACTATTTTGTGTTCAGCTACATCTGCTGAGTACAACGATACTCCCATTGTATGTCTTTGGCACTATTTCGTAAAGCTGATGTGCCATATGGGAGACCTGTCCTTTTCAGTATTTACAGTAGACTTTTGAGAGACGGATTTAATGGGCCAATGCTTCCGTATGGAGTATTATAGCAGTTTGACTGTTAAAAAAACGCCACAAAGGCCTACCATTTCTAAAAGTAGACACTACAGGGTATCTCATATGGTGCATATTGTGCCTTAAAGCGGCACTGTCATGCCGAACTGACCTTTCCTCAATCTTCTCCCCCTCTCTCAGGATCTGTTCTTCTTTAGTTTTCTTTAAAATCATAAGAGAAAGTAGGGACTCTTTGCCTTATGTAGGTTTCCTCCGCTTGACCAGCGGAGGAGCAAAGTGTGCTTCATTTCCGCTGGTCAGAGCAATTTTCCCATAATTCTTACCTTTCCTCTGTGATCTTGCGATGCTTCTCGTCATTTTAGACGAAACTGCTGAATTGCGTTCTAACTCAATGAGAACAGTATGATCGTTTGTTTTAGAACTCAATTCGGCACTTTGTTCGGATCGGAAATTCCTTCTAATGGATGAAACTCCAATCCTATTCATTGCCGCGGCTGCATCTTGCAGCCGTTTAGTAGATAACTCCTTAATTCCCACGGTATCAGGGAGTTATCTACTAAAAGGCTTAAAGACCTAAATTGGTCTTTCAGCCACATTTACGAATACTAAGTAAAGATTACTTAGTATTAGTAAATTCAGCCCCTACTCGCTATACCGCGAGTAGGGGCATGACTAGTAAGCAGTGAGCAGCCTGTGGCTCCTCACTGTAAAAAAAATTAAAAAATAATAATAATATTGGCCCCCACCCGTGAGCGGTGGGTGGGGGCCATAATGGACATTCGGGTGGGGACCTACTGTCCTCCCCCCAGTCCCCACCCCTGCGCGGTGGGTGGGGGTCATAAATTACAATGGGGGACCTACTGTCTCCCCCCAGACCCCACCCTTGAGCGGTGGGTGGGGGCCATAAATTACCATGGGGGGGGACCTACTGTGGGGGCCATAAAGATTATGGGGGGGACCTACTGTCCTCCCCCCAGCCCCCACCCTTGAGCGGTGGGTGGCGGCCATAAATTACAATGGGGGGGACCTACTGTCCTCCCACCCTTGAGCGGTGGGGGCCATAAAGATAATGGGGGGGACCTACTGGGCGGCGGGTGGGGGCCTTAAGACAAATTCCCCCCCTCCCCTCATCAAAGGTGACTAGGGGTCCCCAAGCCCCTAGTCACTCACCCAAAAAAAAGTAACCCCCTACCTAATCTCCCTTATGCTAATATGGGGTCATATTGAAGTGGCGGAGAGCACAGCTCCCTGCCGCTTCTATCTTTACATATTACAAGGAGGTAGCTGCGCGCCGATACTCAGTGTTTGTTTGTTCGTCTGAAATATTCATTCGTTCGTCTTTCTGACGAATGAATGAATAGACGAAATTCCCGTTCGCATGTCCAAGTGTTTACCTGGGCATGTGCGGGAATCTCACAGTCTGAATATAGATCGGGGCAGAAAATAAAGATTAAAAAATAGGTAATCTGGGGGGGCTTAGGAGCATTTGGGGGTGACTACGGGGTCGGTTAGAGGTAGTGGAGGGGGGGGATAAAAAAAAAAAAAAAACGCACGCCCGGGAGGTGATGCGTTCCACCAAAAGTTAATGAGCAAATGCGCATACCAAAACTTAATTTAAAAAAAAAAAAAAAGCCGCGAAATTTGATGCTCGGCGTAGATGAAGCTGTGCAGTACCCACTGACAGCATGGATGCTTGCCAGAAGTGGTACGCCGTGTCACCAGCCCCCCACACGGCTCAGAGGCATTTTGAGGTAAGATCAATTAATCTTTCCTTCAAAATGATCTCTGTAATAGTTTATACACTTAATTTACAAGGAGTATGAAGCTACGAGGAAAAGAAGAGGACGAAGAGTGGAAACAAGCTTTTATTTCAGGATGAGTAATGTTTTGGACCACTTTCCCTATAGTGAAAGTTTCAGCATTTAATCCCTATGGACATATGGCTGATATCTCCTGCAAAAGACACAGTGTGTGTCCACTATATGCTCTATGTATGAGTACTGTGAGCAGTGTATATACCCACTATATGCTCTATGCCGAATTACTGTGAGCAGTACTTGTGCTCACTATATGCTCTATGAAGAATTACTGGGAGCAATATATGTGCCCACTATATGCTCTATGACGAGTTACTGGGAGCAATATATGTACCCACTATATGCTCTATGACGAGTTACTATGAGCAGTATATGTACCCACTATATGCTCTATGATGAGTTACTATGAGCAGTATATGTACCCACTATATGCTCTATGATGAGTTACTATGAGCAGTATATGTACCCACTATATGCTCTATGACGAGTTGCTGTGAACAGTAAATGTACCCAGTATATGCTCTGACGAGTTGCTGTGAACAGTAAATGTACCCACTTTATGCTCTATGACGAGTTGCTGTGAGCAGTAAATGTACCCACTATATGCTCTATGACGAGTTGCTGTGAGCAGTAAATGTACCCACTATATGCTCTGACGGGTGGCTGGGAAGACTCCGCTTCAGTATATGTATCCACTATATGCTCTGTGCAAAGTTTCTATGAGGGCTCAGCCTCAGTATGTGTACACACTATAGGCTCTTTGTATGAGTTTTTATGAGGACAAAACCTCTATAGATATATCCACTATATGTTCTATGACGCCTTGATATGTATCCACTTAATGCGCTATGTATAGTTTCTATGAGGACTCAGCCTCAGTAGATTTACCCACTATATGCTCTATGACGAGTTGTAGTGTGGACTCTACTTCAGTATTTGTATTCATTATATGCACAATGCACTATGTATGAGTTCTGAGGACTCATCCTCCGTAAATGCTCTATTTAGGAGTTACTGTGAGGACTCAGTATATTTATCTACTATTTGCTATGAGTATTACGAGGACTCAGCCTCTGTATATGTATCCACTATATACTCTGTATCCTCTATATGCTTTATGTATGAGGTCCTGGGAAGACCGGGCCTCAGTATATGTCTTCACCAAATGCTCTATGGATGAGTTACCAGGAGGTTACTGCCTCAGTTTATGTATCCTTATTAGGCTCTATAAATGAGCTTCTGTGAGGACGCCGCCTCGGTATATGTATCCACAGGAGCTGCGTAACCTTGGTATATAGCATATATTGTCTAGGTATGTTTTCTGTATGAACAGATTCAGTATATGTGATTGATATCTCAGGGCATTATGGACGGTTATGAGACAACCACAAGGTATGTGATTTCAGAGCAAACCTATCAGACAGCTTTACTAGCAGGAGCTGCCATAACCGGAGATATTGTTTTTTTGTTTGTTTTTTTCCTTTTTTTGCTCAACGCACTGCAGAACATAATTCCTGGAGACAGGATTAATCTCTGCTCCAAGAATTTGCAGTTGTCAAAGGAAAATCCCTTTTTCTCTTTATGATTGTGGATGTTTGGTAGTTTATGGTTGCGATCATAGATGACTGATACCGCATCAAAATCGGTCCTTTGTGAGCTTCCCTTGGGTAAGCAGAAACTGTTTGGGTCTCACTTGAAGAAATCTTATCACAATTCAGAGACTAAGAATATACTGAGCAAATTCCCATAAATTGAAACAGGAGATTAGAGTGTGGCCGCAGTACTTTCTAAAGAAAGTAAAGTTGTGTAAATAATGGCGATTATATTTTTGGGAGATCAGACGGAGCAAACAGAGGGAAACATTGCTGACGCTGACAATTCTACCAGCAATACATAAATTTTATTTCTGATTCAAAAGAGTTCCTAGATCTCGTGTTCAAGTCAAACACATTGTTGGTTTTCTCGCCTCTATCATAGAAGTAAGGGAGTTGGTAGTAGCGGGTCCGTTTTTCGAATTAGATAGTTCCTTTCAGGAGGCTTGTCTTTCGTCTAAAGATCTTGTTGGGGATCACTACAGATGCTCTTATCTAGTTTCGTGGTAATGGTTAAGGGAGAATCCGCAGACTTGGGGTTTAAAGCTGTACTTCCCGCCCTTCATCTCTTCAGTCCGTGGATACATCGGAAGGCTGTAAAAATTCATACAATCACTTGTCCAAAGGTTTTGATACGTCATCCGGCGGGGAAAACCAGAGTAGGCACTCTTTCTCGCCTGTATGCGGTTATCTTGCTGAGGTGCAAAATTATCTAGCAGATCTTTCGGTAGTTCAATTCAGAGGGATTGACAGTGACATAGCCGTCGAGCTCAGAAAAGGAAATTGGAATCAGGAGTTTGGTCCTTAGGTCCATGTAATTTTTACAGTCTGGAGAGGAAATTTGGTGTTCCAGACATGGCCCTGTTGGCAAGCATTACAAAAACATTCATTGTAATGTAATGTCAGGCTGGCATGCATCTTTCTTCCGCTATTTCCAAGTTGTCTTCGAAAATTAAGGCTGTCGGAGCCTGGTTCTTATTCCATTCTGGCCATACAAGGTTCTGGTTCCCGACGTTCAAGAAGATGGCCTCCACACAGTGGTAACTTAGTATTAGTGGTAGTATTTGTAAATTCAGCCCCTACTCGCTATGCCGCGAGTAGGGGCATGTCTAGTAAGCAGTGAGCAGCCTGTGGCTACTCACTGTAAAAAAAATAAAAAAAAATAATAATATTGGCCCCCACCCGTGAGCGGTGGGTGGGGGCCATAATGGACATTCGGGTGGGGACCTACTGTCTCCCCCCAGACTCCACCCTTGAGCGGTGGGTGGGGGCCATAAATTACAATGGGGGGGGACCTACTGTCCTCCCATCCTTGAGCGGTGGGGGGGGACTTACTGTCCTCCCCCCAGCCCCCACCCTTGAGTGGTGGGTGGGGGCCATAAAGATAATGGGGGGGGACCTACTGGGCGGCGGGTGGGGGCCTTAAGACAAATTCCCCCCCTCCCCTCATCAAAGGTGACTAGGGGTCCCCAAGCCCTTAGTCACTCACCCAAAAAAAAGTAACCCCCTACCTAATCTCCCTTATGCTAATATGGGGTCATATTGACCCCCATAGAGTGAGGGGGGGACCTGGGGGGCTTATGAAGTGGCGGAGAGCACAGCTCCCTGCCGCTTCTATCTTTACATATTACAAGGAGGTAGCTGCGCACCGATACTCAGTGTTTGTTTGTTCGTCTGAAATATTCATTCGTTCGTCTTTCTGACGAATGAATGAATAGACGAAATTCCCGTTCGCATGTCCAAGTGTTTACCTGGGCATGTGCGGGAATCTCACAGTCTATAATTAAAAAATATTAAAATAAGTATAATGAAATTAAAAAGCTGCTCCCTTCTCAGACTCCTATCCTTGCCTGCAAAACTTCTCACACTAACACCCTCCCTTCACAATCACACACAATGAACCCCACACACTGTACCCCTTAATCGCTGCACGCCTTACAATCACACACACTGCACCCATTTGTATTTGTGTGTGTGTATGTATGTGTGTGTATAGCGCGCTCTCTCTCTCTCTCTCTCTCTCTCTCTCTCTCTCTCTCTCTCTCTCTATCTATATATATATATATATATATATATATATATATATATATATATACATACACACGTGGCGTGTGTTTGTACTTTAGGGTGCACACCCTAATGCAATAGGCTGCACACGCCTATGACCAGTATCTAAAGTAATGGTGTGATCTCTGTGGTGGGGACAATTGTAACAAAAACTTAACGTATAAGCAAAATGGCTATATACATAAATTCCTTGGCCTTATAAGGCTACTCCTATATTAGATGAAACAGGTTTACCACACAGTATACATGACTGGCTTAATTGTCGGTAAAAGGTGGATCCAGTGTAAGGTCGATTCTGTATGTATATTAGTCAGATTTGACTAGTCTAAAAGCTAACTGAGCATCATGGGAAATGTAGTCCAGAAACAATTTATGGTGTCAAGGTTAGCCATCACTGGCCTAAACAATGCTTATACTGTGACCGTACCGCCTACACACTGCTTATACTGTGACCGTACCGCCTACACACTGCTTATACTGTGACCGTACCGCCTACACACTGCTTATACTGTGACCGTACCGCCTACACACTGCTTATACTGTGATGTTATTTTTCCCTTCAGATTAGAGGGAGTGCTTTACCAATGGGATTTCTAATCTGGAGGGAAAAAACAGGCAGGCAATTCTCCAAACTTTTTTAAAACCCTCCCCCTTATTAAGCACCTTCCTATAAATGTCAGCTTACCAAAAACAACCCCAGTTCTTTGCCTGACTTCGGCAGAGGAGGTATAGCAGGTTTTTCTTCAGGGAAGCAGGTGAGAAGGGCTGAGACCCTGCTTCCTTTTGTTTTGAAGCAAAATTTTGTACGCCAGACGGCGGGTTCTTCACGAAGCTTATAATGTTCTGTCTCTTCCGCGCCAGGTGCCGGTCAGACGAAGGACGCAGGCGTGCGTCAGCTGGGAGGTCATGGCGGTGGAACGCACGTACAGGTTATGTTGCGTTCCACTGGGAATTCGCGTAGCTCAATGCACATGCGCAATGCAATCCAAGATTCAGGCGCCAAATCTGAAAGTTTTTCGTTCAGTTGGTTTACAGGACTGAAACGGAGCAGATCTGTTGCGAGTGTGTTTCTCACCTGCCCTCCAACACACTGTGAGACCATTTAAGGTAAGACATTTAGCTTTTATTTTAATGGGTCTAGCCTGAATCATAAAGGGAATTAAAATTTTCCCTTTCTCCTATCTTTCCTCAGTATGTCTAATCCTGAGATTACGGAGAAATCGACAGAAGGGGAAATGTTCAGCAAAATCCAAGCATTTAAGTTGCTCTGTATGTTTCCAACCTATGCCAGATGGATATAAAAGGAAACTTTGTTCTCTATGTTCCAAAGAGGCTTTAGAGGAAGCTAAAAAAACAGAAATGTCCACGTTTCTAAGCTGGTTACAACAGAGTATGCAGCAAACCTTTGTTGAAATGCAATCTGCATCTATGCAGTCGGCTCAGGCATCTGTTGCTCAGGATTTACAGGTAGTAAAACAATCCAAGAAAAGGCTGAGATCATGGGAAGATTCAGATGCAAGCTCAGGTACTTCTGATTCTTGTTCTAGAGATGATTCCTCTAGTGATTCTTCTGAGGAGGAATTTGCCTTTCCAGAGGAAGCCATTGGAAAGTTTTTAATAAATGAAGTGCAGAACCTTATGTTGGATGGGATAACAGGAAAAAGATCTAACGTTTTCCCATTATATCCACAGCTAAAGGAGTTGGTTTTAAGAGAATGGAAATTCCCAGGTCATAAACCATTTATATCAAAACTGCTGGATACAGTTCCTGTAGTAGACATTCCTATAACTCAAATAGGAAAGAAAACTGCGTTGCCTATAGGTGACTCGAGTGGTTTAAGGGATGTGATGGAAAAGCGTATGGACTCGTCTTTAAAGAAAATGTTTGTTTCCTCAGTGGCTCTGGCAAAAGCCCTTATCGCAGGAACCTCTGTGGCCAAAGCACAAAAACATTGGCTAGAAGAACTAGAGAAGGTTTATGAAGGAGAATCAAAAGAAGATCCAGTAAAGCTGTTGAAAAATATCAAGATGTCTGCAGATTTTTTGGTAGATTCTTCTTCAGAGAGTCTGAAATTATCTGCTAAGAATTTGTGTCTAACAACAGTATCTAGGAGAGCACTTTGGCTTAGAAACTGGTCAGCTGACGCTGCAGCTAAAAATTATTTGTGTGACTTACCCTTTGAGTCTGGTAGACTGTTATGGTCAAAACTGGATCATCTGTTAAAACAAATGAAGGAAGGCAGGAAGGTCTTGCCTGAAACCCACAAGAAGCAGGTTTGGAACAAAAAATGGGGATCCAGCCTTCAGTTAGAAGTTCCTTTCGTAGGAACTATTACAGGGGAACAGAGGAAAGTTTTCGATTACAGAAAGAAAGATTCACGGACAAGAGAAATAGAATGTTTCAAAAAGTTCTCTGGCTGGATGGCTGAAGGATTGTATTCATTTAGCTTATTCCACAAGTAACGCAGAAATCACAGGCTCCGTAAAGGCCCATTCTACTAGAGCTATATCTACGTCCTGGGCTCTGCGAGCTGCGGCTACACCTTCCCAGATTTGTTCAGCGGTCACATGGTCATCGTTTCATACATTCTCAAAACATTACAGGTTAGACATACTGGCCTCAGAAGATGCAATCGGAGGGATTGCTTTTTCATATCCCATTGGTAAAGCACTGCCTCTAATCTGAAGGGAAAACAAAATGTTTTACTTACCGTAAATTTCTTTTTCCTGAAGATTAGAGGAAGTGCTATAATTCCCCCCCTCCCCCCTTTTTTTTCTAATAAACTCTGAATTGTGCATGTAACCGGCTTGTGTATTTTCTGGAGTTGTTTTTGGTAAGCTGACATTTATAGGAAGGTGCTTAATAAGGGGGAGGGTTTTAAAAAAGCTTGGAGAATTGCCTGCCTGTTTTTTTTCCCTCCAGATTAGAAATCCCATTGGTAAAGCACTGTCTCTTATCTTCAGGAAAAATAAATTTACAGTAAGTAATTTTTTTTTTATTTTTTTTTTACAGTTCGTTTTAGTGTTTGCAGTTTCATTAATGTGTTAATCACTATCCTATATCTTATGTTCTGTGTTTTCTTAGATTTGTTGGAAGAACAAGGTGATCCTCTCAATTTTACACACCTTTACTGATGGTTCCAGTGCCAGAGACAAACCCACCACCATTAACCTCGACCTGCTGAAACAGAAGAGATTACCTTCTTCTACAGAAAACTTCCACTTGGCTGCTTCGTAACACCTGCTGCAGACATGACATAACCTTCATCTTCCACTGATTGAGAATCGTGGACCGCCCCAAGAGAGATGGCGGTCCTAATGCCATACAGCAGGCTTCCCCAAACTCCGGCCCTACAGATGTTGCTGAACTACAACTCCCATGATTCTCAGCTTATCTATTTCATTCATAGAATCATGGGAGTTGTAGTTCAGCAACATCTGGAGGGCCAGAGTTTGAGGAAGCCTGCCATACAGTCTTTCTTCACAGGTGAACTTTCTCCATGTTGGATACCACACTGTGACTTTTCTTAGCCAGTTTAAAATTTTGACTTTTTTTTATTTTTTTTCACTATACGTAGATTTAAAAAGAATAGAAATAAAGTTTATTACTGACACCTTGACATGCAATTTGTGTTACTTAGTTAAAAATAACAGCACTTGCTGTGTCCCATTCTATAAAATCACTGCAATTCTATAGCAGGGGTGATGAAATGGCCATATGAGATGGTGGATTTCAGAGTAGAAAACACAAAAAAAAAAAAACCAAAGAAACCTCAGCTTCTCTTGTTGAACACAGATTTAAGTGCTTTTTTGGAGTTCTAGATTTTTTTTGGGACCATATATAAATTTAGAAATCGAGTAAAGATTAATTGTTTTAAAAGGAAAACTATAGTGCTAGGAATATCAAACTGTATTGCTAGCACTATAGCTCCCTCTGCACCCTTTTGTCAGTTACCTGATTGCTGGGTCAGGCTCCGCCAACATCAGGATCAACCTGGGCACGTATTTGGGCTTCCCCATCGGAAAGCATTAACACAATGCTTTACTATAGGGTTTTTAAAGACGCTGGTTGTCCTTATGTAAAGCGTGAGGATGTCCAGTATCATTTCACGTAGTTGGACTCCGTTAACGACCCTGAAGCACTTCTAGTGGCTGTCTGGTAGACAGCCAATAGAGGATGAGTTAACCTTGCAAGTTAATTATTGCAGTTTCTTGGAACATAAATTGGGATAGAGGGACTAGTACTTCAGCAAGGGGAATCCGGTTTTTGAATGTGTTAAATGACACCTTTATGTCACAACTGGTACAAGCACCAACTAGAAAGGATGCTTGTCTGGATCTCGTTCTAACAAACAATGTTGATCTTTTAACCAACATTCAAGTAGGGGAGTATTTGGGAAATAGTGATCACAATGGTAACTTTTGAAATAAACTCAAAAAAGCAAAAGCACGTGGGGTATATTAAAATGTATAATTTAAAAAAAAGCCAATTTTAATAAGATTAGGGCAGCTCTACAACATATCGACTGGCATAAACTCCTTAGTGATAAAAACACTGAAGAAAAATGGAAACTATTCAAACAAATATTTGAAAGGTACGTTTCAAAGTATGTACCATTGGGTAATAAATATAAAAGAAACAAATTAAAACCAATGTGGCTTAGTAGAGAAATAAAACAAGATATTAAAAATAAGAAAATGACATTTTAAAGCATTTAAATCGGACAAATCAGAGGCATCCTATATAAGATATAAGGAACCCAATAATACTTGCAAAACGGCAATTAAAGTGGCTAAACTAGAAAATGAGAAATTGATAGTCAAAGAATGCAAAACCAACCCCAAAATTTTATTTCAAGTACATCAATTCTAAAAAAACAAAAAATTGAAAGTGTAGGTACACTGAAAACAGAGATGGGTCTGTTAGTTAATGAAGACCAGGAGAGGCAGACATTTTAAATAACTATTTTTCTTCAGTATATATTAATGAGGATCCTATGGCAAGAGATAAGCAAATGATTGCTGCAACAAACTTGCAGATAACTTGTGATTGGATAACTCGAGACAAGGTGCACCAGCTTTTAAAGATGTAAATAAAGCTCCGGGGCCTGACGGTATCCACCCACGACTACTTAAGGAGCTAAGTGGGGAAATAAGTGAATGTCTGTATTTAATTTTTCAAGATTCTTTTATGTAATATGTCCTAAATGGCAAATTTTATTGGGTGATATGTCTCATTTTTTATACATATTTTTATTCTCCCATTTTATCATATTTCTGGTTTTAATTAATCATTCAGCACTTTATATGTATAGTTGACTACATCTTCTCTATTTTTTGTGATAATATATTGTATTCCGACTGAATTAATATCTAATAATTCGATTTATTTATTTATTTTTTATTTTTTTGCCCTTATGTTTTCCCTCTTCAAATATGGCCTCTGTATGGACTTTATATTATGCTGGGATGCATCCCGCCTACTCCTCCCCCTGATGAACATTTATATGGGAGAATACGTCACTACGCGGCCGCCCCAATATGGCGCCGCAATGACGAAATCGGAAGTGACGATTGACGATTATGACAGAAACCGGAAATGACGAACCTGAGTTAGCTGCATATTGCGGCAATGTTGAGAAGTTCAAGACGGACGCATAGACACTACAGGGTGGTAACAGACATTTGGGGGTGGCGGGAATACACGTTTGAGGCCGGAAGTATTCCTTATATGGGAAAAGGGGAGGGATTGTTTTATACACACCTGTAATCACTTTTTTTTTTCTTCGTTTTGTTTACATATGATTAATACCCATTAGGGGCTATTCAGGTATAACCGTATAGTTTTGGGCATTTCACCTGCACCAGCTGTCTGGCAGTGAACAATGGACGAGCTGTTAGCTGGAATTCCTGGGACACCGTGCTTGTTAGATGACCATGCTGGTGACGTGTAAATCAGAGGAGGAACATAAACAGAACTTAGAGACAGTTTTGCAAAGACTTATGGAATATAGATTGAAGGTGAATTTGGATAAATGCCAATTCATGCAGGACAGTCTTGAATTTTGTGCTCATGTAATTGACAAACGTGGGCTGAATACAACAGATGAGAAGGTCATGGCCTTACAGGATGCTCCAACTCCACAAAATGTGACAAAACTAAGGTCCTATCTTGGTCTGTTAAATTATTACAATCATTTTTTGCCAAATTTAGCTCATGTCCTGTACCCTTTACATCGTCTTCTAGAGAGTAAATGGCAATGGCGCTTGACAGTAGAATGTGCTTCAGCTTTCCATAAGTCAAAAGAACTAGTTCGTAGTTCACGTCTTCTAGTGCACTATGACTTGGAAAAGCCAGTTTCCATTGCTTGTAATGCATCACCTTACAAACTGGGAGCAGTCCTGTCTCATTCCATGGCTGATGGGACAGACAGGTCAGTGGCTTTTGCCTCTACATCGCTCACAGCTGCAGAAAAGAAATATTCTCAAATAGATAAATAGGCTCTGGCAATAGTTGGCCACTAAAGACTCCAATACATCTCAAGTCATTCCAAACAAGGGCTCAGGAGTTATCAATTCGAGATGGCTGCTTAATCTGGGGAGAAAGGGTGGTTATTCCTTTTTTTGTTACAACAACCGATTCTTGAAATTTTACATGCAGTTCATCCTGGCATAGTCCGCAAGAGGTCATGTATGGTGGACAACCATTGATGAGGATATTGCCCGTTATGTTTCCGGTTGTACTGGTTGTGCACAAGAACAGCGTGACATGCCACATGGTACAGTACAACCTTGGACCTGACCTCTATCACCATGGCAGAGAATCCACATAGACTTTGCTGGACAAGTGGAAAATAAAATGTATCTGATTGTGGTAGATGCACATTCTAAATGGCCAGAAGTTCTATTCATGTCACAGACCACTGCAGAAGCTACTGTTAAAGCATTACAAAAACTATTTGCATCATTTGGCTTGCCCAGGGTGCTGGTTTCAAATAATGGACCGCAGTTTGTTTCTGGACAATTTCGGGCTTTTCTCAAGGAAAACAGTATTCAGCATCATCGTACAGCACTGTTTACTAATGGTCAGCAGAATGTTTTGTTCAAACACTAAAGGGTTTTCTCTAAAGTCTGAAAGCAGAAGGAAAGAGGCCTGAACAACATTTGTCAGAGTTCCTTCTACAGTATCGAAATACACCTCATCCAACCACTGGACAACCTCCAGCATGCCTTACGTTAGGTTTAGAACTCAAGTTGGATCTGCTAAAACAAGAGATTCAACAAAGGGTCATCCAGCAACAATTGAAGATGCAAGTCAGAAAAGCAGGCCATTGTTACCAGATAGGGCATTCTGTTTGGATGCGTGTATATCATCAGGAGAATAGTTGGAAAGAAGCAGTGATAAAGGAAGTTCTGAGGCCGGCACACTTTAAAGTTTTAACCTCTGATGGATGCTGCACACTGAGACATACATATCAACTTTTACCACGTATAACAGACAATCTATCAAAGTGGGTAGGGCCACTCATGCAACCAGACAATGATATCTGGCATGGAGTTTGTGATGTCTGCAATATACCTGCTCCTGAGGCTCAAGATCAAGATAATCTTTCAAATGTAATAGGGGATGATTTGGAGGAGATACCCCACAAAACTCAGGAACACGAACTGCCAAGCCACAGTTCAAGTAACCATGAAGGCTGTGGTCAGGAAAATACATTCAACAACAGATAGACTGGCCTCAAACCACTGGCAACCACAAGACCATTAAGGGATTATAGTTGGGGAAACTCCACAGTGAGAAGGCGTAAATGGTATCCTAGTAGAACTAGAATAAGCTATCCTGAAACAAATATTGTGTCACGGCGCACCCCGAACCCTGCAGACCACAAGACAAGACCGCCCCTTTAAGAGACCTGGCTGGATTTGAACTCACACCTCGCTGTCCACCAGCGGGCTTCAGTATCTACCTGTATTTGTCTGCTTCCTGACTCCTTGCCTGGATGGAGTAGTGCTGATCCACCTGCAGCCCCTTACCAATTAGGGTCAGCTGCTCCTAATCAGCAGGCTGTAAAAGCCAGCTCTACCTGAGGCCTAGTATCTGGTCATTTTTGTTTGTTTGTTGTTTCCTGCTGGATCTTTGTTACTCTGCTGACTGATTTCCTGGACTCTGACTGCTGCTAGACCTGACTTCTGCTTCTTCGTCTGACCCTGCCTTTGGATTACCCCTTCATCTGTACTGCGCTTTGGTTTTTACCTCCTGCACCTTGGCTCCAACTCTTGGTAACTGCGATATATATATATATACACATACACAGTGGGACCTCGGTTTACAATTGCCTCGGTTAACATAATTTTCGGTTTACAAATGAAAATCCATTGAAAATAATGCCTCGGTTTACAAATTTGTTTCGCAATACAAAGCAAGTTTCCCCAGGATGCATTGCACCTGGGAGGTTTATAGCACCGTCCCCTGCATCCTGGAGCCTGTAGGTAGCACGTGGCGTAGAGTGTGGAGGTGTTGGAGCGGATTTTGCATCAAGTTTTGAAGCCATTCTGGAAATTGTTTGCAGTTGTTTTGGGACTTTTTGGTGCATTTCTCAAGCTGTGGAA